TCTGGAATATGCTGCTCAAACAGTTTCACTTTTGTTGCTACTGCCTGTCCCTCTCTATTCACATTTATCTTCAGACTTCTTCTCCTTGTCCAGATCTATTCTCGCCCCCAACAATCTTCTAATTCATTGAACTTTTTTAAACTTTGCACTTTTAGAGAGAGAGAGTCAGGGACTGATTCTGTGTACATAATTTGCAGAGGGACAATAGGGTTGAGGTCTGTTATTTCTCACCTCTATATATTATTTTATTTATTTATTTAAAAACATTTTTTGCTGTTAACAAGCATGTTATCTCTGGAGACACAAATCCACATTTTGAGAACTGCAAAACTAAACATCTCTGCTGGTATCTTCTAGACTGAGCACTGAATCCCATTGGGTAGATAGAAAGATTAACCTAAATAATCTAAACAGAAACCCCTGGAAACCCATAAGATTGGGTCCCTAATCCATGAACTATTGGAACTCATTTACAAAACTTTTCTTAAACATTACATGAATACCGTATATACTCGTTCATTAGCCCGTTCGTTTATAAGCCAACACCCCAAGGTGGATAAGTAAAAATAGCGAAAACTGGATGACCCTTTCATAAACTGACCCTATACTTCAGGGGTTGGAAAACTTTGGCTGCCAGCCCATCAGGGTAAGCCGCTGGCAGGTTGGGATGTTTTGTTTACCTGGAACGTCTGCAGGCATGGAGCCCCTCAGCTCCCAGTGGCTGTGGTTCGTCGTTCCTGAAGCTCCTATTGGCTGGGAACGGCGAACCGCAGTCACAGGGAGCTGAGGGGCCCATGCCTGCAGACGCTCCAGGTAAACAAAACAACAATGTATTAGATATTCAATTCAATGATTCCATAGAGTTTAAAATAATCAAATTTTGGTGTAGACCTGTTTATAAGATGAGCCCCGCTCTTTGATGTGTCACTATTTACCAAAAATATCTGGCTTATGAACGAGTATATACGGTATATTGTCTCATAGTACAGAATTAAAATTTATAATCCCTATTCCATGATGAGATATCTGAGCTATAATGTATCTTAATTAAAACTATCTTTAGATCGGATTTTTTTGATAAAATGCTTTTTGAGGAAAAAAACTATTAAAAAAAAAGTCATTGATTTTTATCCACTCTGAGCACTTTAAAAACCACTTGAGACTCCCGGCAACAATGTGATTGTGGCTGAAAGTCTGACACCGATAGACCCTGCTAATAGGACCCAGCTCTGTTCTACTCCTTTCAAAGAGATATTACTACGTATGTCACAGCCCAGCTGGCACCTCACCAATAACATTCAGATTTATGCAAGAACCTTTAGTAGCAACGCAATACACCTCTACCCCGATATACCGCTGTCCTCGGGAGCCAAAAATTTTTACCGCGTTATAGGGGAAACCGTGTTATATCGAACTTCCTTTGATCCGCCGGAGCACGCAGCCCCGCCTCCCCAGAGCACTGCTTTACAGCATTATATCCGAATTCGTGTTATATTGGGTCGCGTTATATCGGGGTAGAGGTGTAGTTTCTCTGAAAAGTGAATCCCTGACAGTGTATTTACCATACAGATGCTCATGAACAAATTTGTTAAAATAAATATTTGTCTGCTTCATAGATTTCATAAAAAGCTCTTGACTGGCACTCATGACTCAACCTAAAATTAGTACAAAATGGAAGTGGAGGAGAAACCTATGACATTAGTCAATCCATGTACCAGTCCATCAAATTCAAGACAGCAATATACAAACTGAAGACTTCAAGAAAGAAAGATGAGTAAAACAGGGTTTAATTTCAGCCTAGCCCTCTTCAATTTATAAATCAGTGACACACCAACTCTACTGGAACAATCCCCAAGTCAAGAATGCCCATTAAAAGACTCAACAATTAAATGCCTGCTGTGTCATGATGCCTAAGCATACTATCACCTACTTATGAGGATTGTCAGGAATCTTACACTTTCTAGAAATTTACCACAATACATGAGCCATGCAGGTCAAACAAGCAAACAAACTCTCACAATCATAATTTTTCAGGGGGACAAAAATGAAAACAAGCAAAACAGTAAAATTCAGAGACTTGAAGACAGACCCTAAATAATGCATAAACAAGAACAGCAATACTGGGTCAGTCCAATGGTCCATCTGGCCCAGGATTCTAATGAGATTAGGGCAGTGGTTCTCAACCTATTTACCACTGTGGGCCACAATGTGTTATGGGGGGGCCACATCCAATACGACCTGTATGGCCCTGAGGCTGTCACGTGGGGCAGCTCTGTGCTGATTGGGCTGCAAGCGGCCTGCGGGCCACATGCTGAGAACTGCTGGGTGAGGGGAAGTTTATAAAAAGAAGGCCTGGACCAATAAAAGGTAGGGTGACCAGATAGAAAGTGTAAAAAATCAGGACAGGGGTGGGGGGTAATAGGTGCCTATATAAGAAAAAATCCCAAATATCGGGACTGTCCCTATAAAATCGGGACATCTGGTCACCCTAGATAGGGGTGACTGGGGATGGTTTTAAATAAGACAAAAGGAAAGTATCTTAAAAGGAGCAAACATCAACCTTCCCACCCCACCAGTGTTATCTTCAAAGTGAACCCAGGTGGAATGGAAAACAGGAGAGAGGAGAGGAGAGACCTTGTTGAGAAAGGAGGTTGTGAAGCTGGTCTGGATGGAGACTGGCACTAAGGGGGACCGTCTCCCAGTCTTCTCAGCTGGGCTCAGTACCTGGCAGGAACATCCCTCGTTCACCGCCGGGTGTAAAGGGAAGTGAATTGGCGCGGACACGCCAGGAGACGGTTTCCCCCGGTCTGGCCGGTTTGTCCCTATACTGAGCCCCAGCTCTGGTGCCGCGCGCGCTCTGCGCATGCTCAGCGGCACGCAGCGTTAGTGCTACGGTACCAACCCCGGGTGCCCCTTGCTCCCCCCGTTAACAGGGGCTCGTGGGGCGCCAGGCCGGGGGCTCGGCTCGGCTCCCGCCCGCCCCGCGGGCACAGGGGCTCACACCCTCCCGGGGCGCTGAGAGACCCGCAGCCCGGCTCCCGCGCCCCCCCGGGGAGGGGTCGAGCCCTTACCCGGCTGGTCCCAGCCCCGCGCAAGCCCCGGCCCGCTCAGGAACAGCAGCAGGGACACGAGCAGGACCCGCCCGCCGGCCGCCATGACGATGCCAGGGCCCATCCGGCTGCTACAGCTCGCTGTCACCCGGCGCCGACAGCTCCCGTTACTGCGCACGCGCCTGCAAGCCGCGCCCTCTGATTGGCTGCTGATTGTTGAGCAGTCCTCTCTCGCGCACCCACAGCGCGGGACATGGGCGGAGTCCCGCCGACCCTCGCTCCGCCCCCCGCCCTGATCCCGCCTCCCTGCCCTGCAGAGCCAATGGGAGGCGAGGAGTCTCTGAGCCAACAACAGGGGCGGCTGGGCCAGGACTAAGGCTAGGTCTACACTGGGGGGATCGACCTAAGATACGCAACTTCAGCCGCGTGAATAGCGTAGCTGAAGTTGTGTATTTTAGGTCGACTTACCTGGCTGTGAGGATGGCGGCGAGTCGACCGCTGCCGCTCCACTGTCGACTCCGCTGCCGCCTCCTGCCGCAGTGGGTTTCCGGAGTCGATGGCAGAGCGATCAGGGATTGGATCCCCAATGGATCGATTGCTACCCGCCGATCCGGCGGGTAGTGAAGACGTGCCCTAAGGCTAGGATTTAGTCAGGGGTGTTTTTAGTAAAAGTCATGGACAGGTCACAGCAATAAACAAAAAGTCATGGCCCCCGACCTGTCCGTGACTAAAACGTAGGTGCTTACAGAGGGCAGGACTCCAGCAGAACCTGCTGCTGCTCTGGGGGGATGGTCCGGGGCCGCAGATGTTGCTGGGGGGGAAGGTGGTCTGGGGCCCCGGCGCTGCTGCTCCGGGCAGGGTGGGGCGGCCCAGGGCACCATCACTGCTGCTCCTGGACCGCTGCTTCGGGGCAGCACAAGTAGAGGCTGGTGCAGCTGGCCCCGGCGCCCTGGGCTCAGCCGCACCAGCCGTTGCAGAAGTCCCAGCAGTCCCCGGAAGTCACAGAATCCATGACTTCTGTGATCTCTGTGAAAGACTTGCAGCCTTAGCAATGTCTAATAGGTGCACATGTGATTTCTGTACTGCAGCTGTTTCCCATATTCCCAATGTGAGTGCCTCCCAGGCTGGGCCTCTGCCCTGCCGCAGCGCTGGAGTCGCGGGCCAGCGCAGGCAGAGTTAAGGGTGTCTGGAAGTGATTTTGTGTTGTCAGCTTGTTTCATTAGCAAAGAGCGATGTTGGGTGCAGGTGGGGCTGAAGGAGTGGAAGATTATTACACCCTATGCAGGGTGCCTTGCCTGGGGCTGAGCCACTCCTCAAAGATCCTGGGGCCCCTGCAGAGCAGGGGGCCCCTCCACAGCACACAGGCCTCTGACTCCAGCCCCACTGATCACAATACATGCTCCCTCCTGGGCACATGTTTTAATGTAAGTGCTGCAGTGCCCAGAGCCCAGCCTGCGTACCTTCAGCCAGCCCTCCTAGCGGGAGTCTTGGCTTAGTCACAGACTCAGCTGGTTAAAACCTGGGTTACTTATAACAGCAGGAAGACAAGGGCTAACAGCTCTAGGCCAAGTCTGCCATGCAGCCTGGGTTGAACGTGAGCTGCTAACCCAAGTTAAATGCTGAATAGTTGTGTCTTCTCTGCCATTTTAATTCAATTTTGCTATTCTGAGTTAAGAACACACTTTGTTTGCAGCCTAGACATACCTAAATTGTGATGCTCTTGTTCAATCAAAAGTTATTGGGCTTGCTGCAGGACACCCTGGGTGAAATTTTGTGGCTTGTATTATGCACTAGACCAGAGGTCAGTTTAGATAAACATAGTGGTCCCTTCTGGCCTTAACAATTGAATCTATAGACCCAATTTATGCACTACAGCTCTCATTTGTGTTAATAAACTTTTTTAATATTGTAAACTTTCTGTGGGTCATATAGTGCCTAATGTATTAAGCCAGAGGTTCTCCACCTTTTTCTTTCTGAGCCCTGCCTGCCGCCCCCACACCCCTGCAACATGCTATAAAAACTCCCTGGCCCACTTGTGTCACTATAACAGTTTTTCTGCATAGAAAAGCCCAGGCTGGCATTAGAGGGTAGCAAGCAACCAAGCAGGGCAATTGACTTGGGCCCCACACCACAGGGTACCCTGTAAAGCTAAGTTGCTTGGGCTTTGGCTTCATCCCCCCACGGCGTGGCTTAGGCTCAGGTTTGGGCTTTCTGCCCTGGGCCCCATAGAGTCCAATGCCAGCCCTGCTTGGCAAATCCCCTGAAATCTGCTTGCAGCCCTCCATGGGGCTCTTGACCCCCAGTTGAGAACTGCTGCATTAAACTTAAATGTAGACCACACCGAATCATCCTCTTGAAGGACTGAGCCTTAAATTTTTTTGGCAAAATGTAGTAAATTGGTTTTGCTTATTGAGAACTTAAGCTAGATACAAATGTGCAAAAAGCATGTGGGTCATGGAGGGCCTTTTTCACTTTGTACTATTTGCTCCCTCCAAGTTCCTTTGCTCTGCATTCAGTGTGGAATTACCTATTTTATGTGTGGCTCCTTTGAAAGGGATGGGAAATTATCTTATACATTCAACAACATCTGAAATTGTTCAGGTGGGAGGGAGGAGCAGGCAGAATTGCCAACCTCAAGCATTCAAAAATCATGACTCAGACCCAAATTAAATTTGCCTGAAAAATAACAAAATAACAACAGTGGGGATGTTTTGATTTGTCTTCAGCACCCTGGTCTGACTGGCTCACAGTGTCAGCCAACCACAAGGGCTAGAAACGAACTTGTTTTACAGAGGAGCGTCTCCCATAATGAAAGCACCAGGGGGGTTGCAATAGTTCTGAGGTAAGAGCTAAGGCACTAATGGCATCTGCGCCCAGCAGGGAGCGATCCAGGGCCGGGCTGAAGAGGGTATGATTCATGTCGCTGGTCTGGGGAGGCTGAGTAATATGCTGTCTCTGGCCCTTTAAGGATTCCCCGCTGCAGTACTGGCCCTTTAAGCAGCCGCCTCCCTTCCCCGACACGCCCCCTAGCGCAGGGCTTCACAGCGCCCGAGTCACATGACAGAGGGGCGAGCTCCTGCCTTGGCGGCTGCGCAGTTCTCACCGGAAGCGTTGCCGCGTCTCGCCTTATACGCACTTCCGGGGGTGGGGTCGGGCCTGCTCCCTGTCGGCGGCCGGTGAGGGGGACGGCAGCGGCGGCGGCGCTATGGCCGGGATCAAAGGTGCTGGGGGCAGGCGCGGTTGTCGGCGCTGGGAGGGGCCGGGGAGCGGAGGCGGATGGGCGCCCCCGAGACCCAGTGTCCCAGCTCCACCCCGGGGCAGAGCCTTCGCTCCCCGGTGCGGGGCCCGTCTCCCTGGCAGGGAGCAGCGGGGGGGCCTGGCCGCCCCCAGCGCGGTGAGCAGCCGCGAGAGGCGGAGCGCGGCGCTCGCTCGCTCGGGGGGAGACCCGGTCCGGAGGCCTGAGTGGTCTTGTGCTCCGGGTGGCTGCCCCAGGGCAGCCCGGCCCCCGCGCCCGCCGGGATGTAGCTGCTGGAGGCAAACACTCCCCGTACCTCGCCCCCTCTGGGGTTTGACAGCAAGGGAGCTGCTTCCACGTGAAAACAAAGCCTGAGGCCTGTAGCACTTGGTTGTTTACCCTTCGCTCCCGTTCGTGCGGGCGCCTTTGCAGACAGAAGGGCAGGAGGTCAAATTGTAAACACCTACGAAGAGTAAACTCTGCAACAAATATTAATTTTGCTTTCCCTTGCTCCTCCAGTGAAAGTCATTTTCTGGCTAAAAATGTCATACGAATAATGCAAATGGGTTGAACTTTGAAATGAGCCTCAAATCCTGCTTATTGAATGGATTATCCCATAATCAAACTTGCAAAAAATACAACTGGACCTATTTCTAAAGGACTTATATTCGCTTAGCACAATAAGATTTTAGCAAAGAAGCCCAGCCTCCTTTGGATAAACTCACTGCCTTATGCTTATTCATTGTTTGGTATCATAGGTCAGACACGGATAATTGTTCACAAGGCTATGTTCTGAAACCTTTTCTCTTAGGTGATTTTTTTTTTAAATGTTATTCTGAAGTTCTATTTGACTAAATGAGTGTCAAGTCACATGCAACATATACCTCATATAATTTTATTTCACACTCTCAGATGTCCAAGTTTATATAAAAAATAAAGTGGTAATTGCGTCCACTAGAAATCAGTTTTTTTTTTAAAATCGGAAAATAGAAGTCAGAAAACTGAAGAAATAGTCCCACTGGCTGATGTGAAAGCGTAACTGTTTTAAATCCTCATCTATCATCCTGTCAAATGATGTCCTCTTAAAACTGCTAGGTTATTTACCAATGAAAATGTTAACTTGATATACAGCCAAATTAAATTTTACAGATACTATGCTTTTCAGAATTAAATCTTTTAAAGTGCTACCATTTGTGTATTAAGTAGGATTCATTCAAATCTACTGAAACTCAAGTTCCCAGATTTTTTCCACTGATTCCAAGCCATCAGAGCATTTTATTTCTCATTTGTTTCATATTTAATTTAAGATGTTTATTGGTATTACAGTAAAAGGTTCTGTACACTTGTGTTCAGTACTACACAAAAATTTAACTTTGGTTACATGAACATTTATATTAAGCTTTAAATTACATTCAAAATTTCATCTAACATAGACTTTGTTTTAAAGTGAGGCTCTCGCCTCTTTGTTTGCTACATGTTTTCACTTCTTAATACTTAAAGAACAAAGATGATGCAAGTGGGACTATCATATCCACCTTGGGATTTTCTGAAGCACAAGACAGGTTAGAAGTCCCTTAATGTAACCTCATGGGGTTACTTCATTAATTAATCCTGTTGTGAGGAAAACGTGATTTAACTTTGGCGGTATGATTAAGCTAGAAATGAGAATGAATAGAGGTTTCTCATGAAGCTGGTGTGTATATACTACACAATTTCCCAGTATAGATTCAGACAATAAAATAGAAGTGAACAGAGTTTTTGGAACTGTAAAAAGTGTTTTCCTTTCATATTTTTCAAAATCTATTATTCAGTTTGTGTTTGATAGCTCCATTGTCTGGAATGAGCCAACAAAAACTCTGACCTCAGAGGACTCTGAATCAGGCCCTACATTAATTTGACAGCATTTTGCCCATCGGACATTGTACTGTTTACCCCGTACACAGTTTCA